ATCCGCACCCGGGATCCGGCCACACACCGGGATCCGCAGCCGGGATCCGCGGCCGGGATCCGCACCCAGGATCCATCCACACACTGGGATCTGGACCCGGAATCTGCACCCGGGATCCACCCACACACCGGGATCTGCGCCTGGGATCCATCCACACACTGGGATCCACACCCGGGATCCGCAACCGGGATCCATCCACACACCGGGATCTGCACCCGGGATCCATCCACACACCGGGATCTGCACCCGGGATCCATCCACACACCGGGATCCGCAGCCAGGATCCGTCCACATCCCAGGGATCTGCACCCGGGATCCGCACCCAGGATCCATCCACACACTGGGATCCGCACCCGGGATCCATCCACACACCCGGGATCCACACACCAGGATCCACACCCGGGATCCACCCACATCCCAGGGATCTGCCCCCGGGATCCGCCCCCAGGATCCACCCACACACTGGGATCCGCACCCGGGATCCAGCCACACACCGGGATCCGCACCCGGGATCCGCACCCGGGATCCGCACCCGGGATCCGCACCCGGGATCCGCACCCGGGATCCGCACCCGGGATCCGCACCCGGGATCCGCACCCGGGATCCGCACCCGGGATCCGCACCCGGGATCCGCACCCGGGATCCGCACCCGGGATCCGCACCCGGGATCCGCACCCGGGATCCGCACCCGGGATCCATCCACACACCCGGGATCCACACCCCAGGATCCACACCCGGGATCCATGCACACACTGGGAACCATCTGCACCTGGGATCCGCACCTGGGATCCATGCACACACGGGGATCTGCACTCAGGATCCATCCACATCCAGGGATCCATCCACACACTGGGATTCACACCTGGGATCCGCACCCCAGGATCCACATCCTAGGGATCCATCCACATCTCGGGAATCCATTTGCACCCAGGGATCCATCCACATCCCAGGGATCTGCACCCTAGATCTGCACCTGGAATCCATCCACATCCCAGGATCTATCCACACATCAGGGATCCGCACCCAAGAGCCACATCCTGGGGATCTGCACCTAGGGATCCACATCCAGAATTATTCCACATCCCGGGGATCCATCCACATCCCGGGGACTCATCCACACACCAGGGATCTGCATCCCAGAATCCATCCACATCCCAGTGATCCACACCCCGGGATCCATCCACATCCCGGGGATCCGCACCCAAGGCATCGGCACCCCAGGGATCTGCACCCGGGGATCAACATTCCAGGGATCCACATACCAGATCCCGGGGACATTCTGGGGGATGCACATCCCAGGGATCCACATGCTGTGGCATCCACACCCAGGGCATCTGCACCCAGGGGATCCACATCTCCAGGATTCTCATCCTGGGGATCTGCATCTGGAACATCTACATCTGAGGCATCTGCATCCCAGGCATCCACATCCTAGGCATCCGCACCCTGGGGATCCGCATCCCAGGATCCATTCACATCCCGGGGATCCGCACCCCAGGATCTACATCCTGGGATCCATCCACATCCTGGGGATCCGCACCTGAGGCAACCTGAAGGAACCTGGAGTTGGGTGCCTGCAGCCGGGAACACTGCCCCCTGCAAGCCGGGGGTGTCTGCACCCAGGGGTGTGAGCGCTCAGGGTGTTCACCCTTGGGTGCTTGTACCGAGGGGTGTCAGTGCTCAGGGTGTTCACCCTTGGGGGTGTCAGCGCTCAGGGTGTTCACCCGTGGTGTCTGCACCCAGGTAACCGCACCCAGGGGGATCAACACCCGGGATAGGCACCCCAAGCAGCCGGTTACACCCGAGGACCCGGCACAGCCGGTTACATCCAAGGACCTGGCACAGCCAGACCCCCAGGGCACAGCCACCCCAGGGCGCCAATGTCCCCTGCGGGCCCCTCGCATGGGATGGGGTCACACAGGCACCTTCCCAGGTCTCCAGTTCTGCCAGCTCCAGCGGATAACGGGAACGTGTTGGGGCACAAGCAGGGACACCCCTCTGCCGCGCACACCCATGACTCAGCTCAGAGCACAGGGACCCTTGGGTGCAAAACTGCTGTTGGGAGCCCCAATGGGGACTGACCCCGCAGTCCCCCGTGCTCGGCAGGGCTGCCCCACGGATCCTCCCACACGCTTTATCCAGGCTCCGAAGCTCCCTGTGAGGCACCGTGCGGATGCGCTGGAGACCCTCCAGGGAGGCTGGAGAGATC